ACGCTCCTTGATTCTCCCTCCACAACACCACTCCCAGCACCTCCACAACACCACTCCAAGCACCTCCACAACACCACTCCCAGCACCGCCACAACACCACTCCCAGCACCTCCACAACACCACTCCCAGCACCTCCACAACACCACTCCCAGCACCTCCACAACACTATCCCCCCCTACACACATTTTTACAAAGTTATACACCTCATCAACAGGTGTAGTAACGTTTACATAATTTTAATCATACTACTACTACTTTTCAATAATAATAATAATAATAAAAATAATAATAATAATAATAATAATAATAATAATAATAATAGTAATAATAATAATAATAATAATAATAATAATAATAAATACATATTCAATTGAAATACATATACGGTACATAAATATTGTTACATGAATAAATTTTGTGTTGTTACAGTGTTAGTTAAAGGAGGTAACGCACGGACCAGCCAGGACGACACAATTTGTCCACCAACGGTAACGGCATCTACGGTGTGCTCTCCATAACCCTTACGTGTGAGCCACCTTAACCTACCACACTCTACCAAGGACTATGTAAATCAAGTTCTACCTTCGATACAGCAATAAATCCAACATTTCTTTGTCCTAAACACACAAGATCAAATACTAACACTATTTGGGAGGATGAGGTTGGGTTTGGTTGGGTTTGGTTGGGTTGGGTTAATGTTCCCTTTAGGTAAAATAAGCTGGGTAGAGATTCTTCAGGTAATGCGAAATATCTACTTTTTTTTCCAATGTCTTAAACACACGAGAACAAATACATAGAATTACCGTTCATAATTGACCAGCAGCCGTTAGTTCTTGTAGTGCTCACGAAGAACATCTAAATATAAACTGACAGCCTTAAGACACCAAGTGAGTTCCAGAGGAGATCTAGGAAATATTGAACATTGGGTAAACCCACCAAGTTACTTACACGCTATAGTCAACATGTAAGCAGTTAGACCCAGCAAAACACACAAATATACACGCGCGCACGTGTCACACACACAGTTTCCGTCTCCACCTCCTCAGCCGACTCAAGTCCCTCGGAGTTCCTGCACACGAGCTCCTCAGTGTTTACTCAACGTATGCCTCCCCTACCTGGTCTTCCTCCCTAAATGCCACACAACGTAAACCCCTATAAAAAGTGCAAAAGAGGGCATGCAAAATTATTCTCTCCCCGTCCTACTCCACATATCAAGAAGCGGTCAATACACTGACCCTCTCTGACCATCACCACGACCTCAACTGCAAATTTGGTGAGAAGCTTCTGCACCATCCTCGAGACCGGCTCCTACTACCACCCAAGATCCCTCGTCCGCGAATTGCTGTTTTGTTCGACACCACAACCGCACCCAGCCCATACGAGCACGTACTGATCGTTATAAGAACAGCCCAGTCCCAACCAATGTAAAAATTATCAACAACTCGTAATCAACCAGTGTATTCACTCCCAGTCAATCTTACCCTTTGCACTGTCACTATGTTGAAATGTCCTGTAGTATGACCTTCTCCCCACCTTGTTATTATATATCATGTGTATCACTTATGTTACATGTATATTATTTGTCAATCAAGAGACCCATTCCCCAATTATGTAACTGTATATTTTCAGCCTTCCGGCTGCCATTCTCTTTCAATAAACGTTATTATTATTATTACACACACTCTTAAATGACTGGCCCAGAAATACGTAGAGTTACACAGAATAGCTAAACCCAGCCAGATACATACTAGTACACTGACCCACCAATGATCAGGTTTTACTGCATTGTTATTTTGTAGGAAAGAAATATGCCGAATACAGAGTTCTTCTTACAGTTGACAGAGACACCCAGTTGTTATCATATTACAGTATTCTGAGGTTGGGAAGCAGTCAGCAAAATACGGGTTATTTTACAGTTAGCAGATACGAAAGAGAACCACGTAAACTGAGTTGTGCGTGAAGACTGCGCAGGCGTCATGGTGTTATTAGCCCCGTCACCCGGCGTCACCATCCTCACGCGCACAATTTCGCCCTTCTGATCCTCCGATACAAAACCGAGAATCCCCCACTACTGCTTTCCTCGTCAGCTGACCCTACAAATATGTTATCCTAAGCCAACCCCGTCCTTCCGCTCCCCCGCCACAAGAACAAGAGTACCCTGCCGCTGGCCTATCAGGTGAAGTGACCCTCTGCTGCGCCACCACCTCAAGCCAAACCATCTCCACCCTCCGACTGCCTCTTCACTAGGCCAAAAGTCACTTGCCCCCTGCTTACTCTTCAGCTGATCCAACCACCGAGACTCAAAATTGGCGTTCTGGCGCTTACAATAAATTTCCTTCATTTTCTTACAGCACCGACCACACGGTTTCCTCGGCCTGCCTGCCATGGGGGAGATGACTCACCCATGAAGATACTATGATGATGACAATGGTGATGCTGATGAGAATGATGAGAATGATTGCGCTCTTTCCATTTACACCAACACTACTGCCCCACACACTCCAAACACACACACACATCCTTCACTCCATTTGTTTGTATTATAAGGTCTAAGTAATTATTGTTAACGGTTTTCTTCTTTAAACTTTTTTTATAATTTCAGACACATATTTATATTATTATTATTATTATTATTATTATTATTATTATTGATGGAAGTTGTATGTTTACCATCATAATTTTTTACGATAATGATCACACAAACTAAATAGAGAATCCGCACCAACGTCAACACATCCCCACCGCCCTCTCAGTCTCTGATCTTTTCATTACCACGGGCAACTTTCTCCAACTGCTACCGTCACTTTTAACACCTGTCCACTACCTCCTGAACACACACACACCTTCATTCACTCCAATCTATCTCCTTCGCTGTCTCTGCTTCACCCGCACCTAAACACAGTAATTAATTATCTATACAATCAACTAATACGCTTAATTCTGATACTTACTCCAGTTGGCCGTGGAGCTCAACCAACATGACGAGACTAACAAGGTATGGACGTATTACTGTACTGAGGCTCTTCACAATTATGAATAAATTGGAACCTAATATTTTTGGACCTCAATGGAAGATGAGCCCCATGTTACCATAATAAAGCGCACTTTTTATTCGAGTAAAATAGATGTGTTTAGGGGTTTTTTTTTCATAAACAATTTGTACATTTTGTGAGTCCCAAATATACAGCCATAACATTAATGATAATGACACATGGTGTTTGACAATGATCACGTGAAATTACTCCTGCAATGCAATTACTGTTGATACGATATTGGTATTGAAAGGAATGACTTCTCTGACTGCTCTAAGGCACAAAAGAGTACTAACTAAATATACAGTGTAAGCAGTTTCACGACCCCAATCACGAAAAACGGTAACGTGAGGTGAAACAAGAGATGTGCAGCAAAAATGTGAGGTGTTGGACTCATCAGGGAGGAGGTGTGTGTACGATGGAGTGTGATACGTGCCGTGAGGCCCCTTGGCCCCTCTCCCTGGAGTCAACACCAGCCAACCCTCCAGGTGAACCAGTCTGTGCGAGCTGGTTTTACGTCACACCAGCCCCTCCTGTGTCACCTCAGTCACCTGCTTCTCTAATGCCACCAACCAACACTTTCCTCACCGGTGCCAACTTGGTCACCTATAGAACCAGTGCCCACAGCTTCCCCCTACGGTGTTCCCTTGGTGTCACCTGTAATACAGAGTGAATTTAACAAAGACTTTACACGAGATGTGGTGAAGTTCTCGTGATCAAAGACACAAACAATAAGATAAACACCATCGAGGAAGGTTTAAAGCGTCCCTGATATATTGTCACATATGGCGGGAACAAGGAAGTGACTATTCTAGTCTGCCCAGAAAAATTTGTCTGAAAATTTAAATTTTAATGGAGTATTCTAAGTGGTCTTTCTTAACTACTCAGCTGTTACTTTACTTTCAGAATATGTTGCCATAAACTTAGTATCACAATCAAGTTCTTGGCACGATGTAACGTCCCATGTCCTTCATCCTCCAAGTCATTATTTACTAAACATTATCATTCCTAGATACATTTTAGAATTTATATATATATATATATATATATATATATATATATATATATATATATATATACACACACATGAACACCTCAACCCGCCAGGATTCGAACCCAGGAGCCCATGGACTGTGACCGTGGAACGCTACCTCTGGCGGGTTGAGGTGTTGATTGTATGTAGAAGTCCGCGTGCTTTATTGGGCTAATGAAATATATATATATATATATATATATATATATATATATATATATATATATATATATATATATATATATATATATATATATATATATAACGTATAAAATTTATACAATATGTTTAGTTTTCAGTTATTCAATATCCTATTACTCTGATTTTCTGGTTTTCTTATTCCAAATAAAACTTAGCTACAGGATTTTGTATAAAAATGAAAGGTTATATATCAGAAGTGAATAGAGATAGGCGAAAAATTTTGTGGCGGGAATGTCTTGTACGACATGGCGAACTACAGATACTTTTAGGAGTATTCAAGAGCAAGTATATGGGAGGGTCATATTGTCCCCCCTACCCTGACTGACGTGCAAATAATCATTACATAGTTGCTTCCCCAAAAAAATATTTTTGATTTATTCACATGCAGTTTTAAACCGACAATGGTTACAGCTCCGTCGATACAGCCCGACAATTGGGGCGTTACTGTTATTGTTAAAGATCCGGCAATACTGTGCCTGTCACCTTGTCATTTCCCAAACCTATCCCGTGATCGTTGGGTTAGGTTCACTAGTAACGCAAGGTTTACTTAGTTCGTGACCTCTTATGTCATAAAATGGATATCTTAGACATAAATTTTCCACACTTGGTTTTCTACTAAAATTATGCTGAGAGCCGGACCACCATCGGTAACCACAGCCTAATTTCAATCCTGTATAAGTGTTCAAAAAGTAAGAGTTATCCCTACAATTTTGACAAAGAAAATGGACACTTACCTTCCGGGCGACCGCTGCCATTCTCTATGAATTACGACGGAGACTTAGCGCATTCTCATTCGTCTGCTTCCAACGTTGATATATCGATGAATTTAGCGCTTTCTCGTTACTATTAATTCCAAGTATTCCTTTTATCTGTTCTTAACAGGTTTCTTGCACACACTTAAAAAGGTCAGTCTAAAATCTTATCACAATAAAATAATATTAAATTGTTCACACAATCACAATAACTTAAAACTTTTTGGCACAATGAAGTTAAAAGTTTTACAGCTCACATACTGTGTTTCTGTTCTGTACTCTCACTGAGCTATGGCCTGTTTCTTTTCCCTGAGCATCTCTCCTTCATCCACTGGCTGAACTTCATTTTATGCTCTCACTGCACCTGAAAACAGAATACAGTACTCTATAAATAAAAACACAGGTAATAAAATATATATACAATCCTTACATAGTCTTACCAAGAACACCCACTCTCTATTTGGTTTGAGTATCAAAGTTTCTTGAAATTATGTATAAGTTTTGAATATACAATGTTATACAGTTATCAAAAAGGTGACAGTCGACAGGACGAAACTAGCCAAAAATGTTAACAGACGTGTCATCTTGTTACACAACACATTAACACTGCTTCTGGCACAATTATTCTGATACAATGTTAAGTGATTAGAACGCTTATACCTGTACCATACCCGTCCACCATAACCGGGTCTCCATACACACGTGACTTGTTAGAGAGAGATCTGTGACCACTACCTCCTTCCCTGCTTGTTAATGTATACTTCAGCCAACCGTCGACACCAACACTTATAGCCGCGTCACTATCGAACACTCCCTGCCAATTTCCGAAGCTCTAACCATGAAACTCACTAAACATTTATACGCGTATATACGACTGGCACACTCGTCTCAACGCCACCACACTAACACCACATTCTTTGTCACATTACTGGTATGATAAAGAGAGATAACTCGTTCAAAAAATCCTAAGTACTGTCAATGATAAGATAACGTTAGGTGCACGTGATGGGTTATACTGTACAATGGACAAAGGTATTAACACTGTCTAACCAAACTAAATAGCCGAGGCTGTCCCTAATATACTGTTATAAATTACCTTTAAGACTTTTATCGAATGCTCTTACCAACGACTTAATATTGTGATTTATTGAATGAGTTTATGAGTCATCTGTTATGTATTATTTATTCAAGATGAAAAAGACTTAACACATTTATGTGCCTAGACACTGGGTAATTTGTTAGCCTTTTATGGGAGAATAATTATTAAAGAAATAAACCATTAGAAAATAAATACAGGACTAGTGAGTATGAAGAAAAAGAGTCTCTCTCTCTCTCTCTCTCTCTCTCTCTCTCTCTCTCTCTACAGTATATCTCCACAAAGACCTAAACACAAAAATAACAAATAAATTAGACTACAGGTGGTAACGAAACACACTTCAGAAATTTCAATTAATGTAATATGAAATCGAAAACTAGTAGTGATCATACAACCACCACCTAATATACCAAGTAAGTATGTCTCCACCTACCATAAGGGGACTGTACTATCACCTACCAACGATCACACACCCACTCACTGTGTTCATTATCTCTCTCTCTCTTGCCTGACAGCCACAACAATAAATACCCAACACGGCGCACCAACAACCAGTCCATGGCGCTGTATTATAGCCAGTTCCTCCACGCATGAAAGGTTGACCGTGGGCGCAGTGTGGGCGTGGGCGTGGCGCCAGCAAGACGTGAGCTGCCCACACCCAAGGTACCCCACAGCTTCTCCATGATGTTTACGGCTTCATCATCCTGCCTCTCCCCACTGCACCCCACAAACGGCAACATATGTCCACGGTGAAAAGCTTTTATTGAAACCAATTTGTAAACTTTACATTGTAAGCGATTATTCTGTTTATTCTTAGTATTTTAAAAGCTACGTTTATTGCTTTCTTATACAACAGTGAAGTGTTGCCCTGTACCAGCACCATTATAACTAACGGGTTGTCTCTCCTATCAGTTTTGTGACACCTGACTGCCACCAATGGTGTAAGGAGTCTTACGTCACTAAAATGTCATATTTAACAAATATAAACAGTCAACAAACAAAACTTATGATTCACAAAGTAAGATATAAAAGTGAGCACCATCATTTCGAAAGTAAGATGTACAAATGAATATCGCTATTCACAATGGAAAACACTTTTGAATTACATTATTGAACAAAGAAGATGAACTAGCATACACCATTATTGTAATTACAAAGTAAGTATTCTGAAGGCTACGAATTGGTCCCCCCCCCCTCCCCGAGTGACGATATCACATAAGCTTCATTGTGAACAAACAGGTCAGGGAGAGAGTAACTCCCAAGTTCCGCACGAAAACTCAAGAAATTGCTTCTCACCTTTGACCATTGTCGAGCGACGGCAGGTGTGGTAATACCTGGCCATAAGGCATGTGCTGTGAGAGAGCATTCTTGCTGCTGGTACCTGTACTTCACACTACACCCTATTCCTTCTCCTCGCGCTGTCCCTCCCCTTATTCAGCCACTTTCTCTCAATTCGTCTACAATTAAATAAATTATAGGTTAAAAATCCCTTTAAACTGCTTTCACAAAACACTCAATAATTTTTAACACCATCGTGGCGCTTTCACTAAAACTCCTAAGGCATCGTCAACCCCTTGTAAATTCCTTCCACCCAAGAGTCGGATGAATGACATTCCCTTTAGGGTGGCACCTTCCGCGTTCCTCTCTGTCACCACAATATATCTGATCACCGAGAAAGTACATTAAAATATAACGGTACTTTAAGCCCTGATCCAATCTTCCCACGAGACTGGTATATACAATAAAACGTATTGTGGTCCTATAGGTCAGTTCCTTATAACGTTATTGAATAGGTGTGCTGTCAAAACGGCCGTCCTGGTATTAGACAGAAGAAGTAAGGCAAGACTCTATATTAGTTTCATCTTGCAAAACTGATACAAATTCCTGCTGACTCTCCTTCATTTATAGGGTACAAGAGCAATGTATTCGTAGTGTCAGACATTACCCAAAAGAAAAGCAAGATAACACCTGTAAAAATCATGCAACAAAGTAAAGGTGTGTGTGTGTGTGTGTGTTTGACGTCCACAACTCCCTCACACACACACACACGACTTACATGGGAGTTACAAGAGATAGTCTACTAAGTGTCATCATCGTCGTCGCTTTCCATAAATCGATTCTTTATAAAATATAAATCAATATTTTTTTTGCAAGTATAAATATTAAAATTAGAAAGCGGTGAATGATCTAAGTGTCATCATCGTCGTCGCTTTCCATAAATCGATTCTTTATAAAATATAAATCAATATTTTTTTTGCAAGTATAAATATTAAAATTAGAAAGCGGTGAATGATCATGATTAATGGTGAAGTGCAGTGGAGAAGTGGGGGAGGAAAGGGGGAGGTGGAGGGTGAATGATGATGATGGCAGATGAGGGATAAGGTATATGAGGTGTCAGGGTAGATGAGGAGGAGGGGGAAGGTGAGAAAGCCTGGAGGAGGAACGGGAGGCAAGGTGACGGGTGTAGGAGTGGGGGGTGGTAGCTGGCCTTAAGTAGTGGCTACGTCATCCATATATTCACGACCCCCCTACTACCTCCCACGACCCCCCACTACTACCTCCATCCTCCCTCCCTCACACATCCGAGCCTCGCCTTAGCCTGCTGACCCAACTCCATCAGATAAACACCTCTATTTACCATCACAAACCTCAACAAACGTACATATGGACAATAATAATACAGGAATCAAAATGTACGAACTTATCACACTTAGAGGTTCACCGAATGACTATACACCCACACACCCTCTAGAAGCTCCAGGAGTAACAAGGTGACAGTAAAGAACCTTGACTTATGACCTCTCGCTACTCAACACTCTCTCTAAAGGCACCTGGTTAAGGGAGTCTGTTCTACTATCCTTTACTTCTCTCTCGTTGTTGTGTGTGATGGGGTGGACCAAGGAATACAGAAGCCCAAAGAGAGGAAGGAAATTGTTAGAGGAGACTCGTGTGTAATAAGATAAATGGGTAGAAATTGACAGTAGAAGGCTGAGACAGGTACACACACACACACTTCATTCCACAACGGTGCACAACCCAAAACTCTCAACACGTAAAATTCAAAGATGGAAACTATGAATAGTATCATATAAGCTGACTGTTCCAATAACCCCCATTCCAAATAGATAATGTTAGGTTGGGGTCTATTGCAACTGGGTCCTCTTTGACCTACAACTCACCGAACGTGCCCAATCCTAACCAAAACATAAGGGTTGGGGGGACCACTATGAATGAATCTCACTCCAAATGAACCCCAATCCTTATAATTATGGAGTCTTGAGCCGAGTTCGAACCCATCTGGTCTTGGGCTGAGTTAAACCTCATCTGGACTGGCTTACACCACCTGACAACCTACTCTAATGAGGAATGTAACTTCAATAATAGTTTTACCTGTAAACTTACAACACAAAAACAAACTTCAACTCGACCGCCTAACCATGAGATAACGGCACGGAATCCAGTCGTATTCAACACGGGTTTATAAAGTCACAGCTCGACCGGGGGTGAGTGTGTGTGTGCTGTAACACCCTGAGGGGATGAGGGAAAGTAGGAAAGACAAGTAAACAACGCTCCAGGTACAGTGGTGAGTGACTAAAGTGTTACAGTGGTGAGTGGCTGAAGTGGTACAGTGGTGAGTGGCTGAAGTGTTACAGTGGTGAGTGACTAAAGTGTTACAGTGGTGAGTGGCTGAAGTGGTACAGTGGTGAGTGGCTGAAGTGTTACAGTGGTGAGTGGCTGAAGTGTTACAGTGGTGAGTGACTAAAGTGTTACAGTGGCTCAAGCGTTACAGTGGTGAGTGACTGAAGTGTTACAGTGGTGAGTGGCTGAAGTGTTACAGTGGTGAGTGGCTGAAGTGTTACAGTGGTGAGTGGCTGAAGTGTTACAGTGGTGAGTGGCTGAAGTGTTACAGTGGTGAGTGGCTTAAGTGTTACAGTGGTGAGTGGCTCAAGTGTTACAGTGGTGAGTGGCCTGGCGTTACAGGGTGAGGGTGTTACAGTGGTGAGTGGCTCAAGTGTTAGCAGTGGTGAGTGGCTCAAGTGTTACAGTGGTGAGTGGCTCAAGTGTTACAGTGGTGAGTGGCTCAAGCGTTACAGTGGTGAGTGACTGAAGTGTTACAGTGGTGAGTGGCTGAAGTGTTACAGTGGTGAGTGGCTGAAGTGTTACAGTGGTGAGTGGCTGAAGTGTTACAGTGGTGAGTGGCTGAAGTGTTACAGTGGTGAGTGGCTTAAGTGTTACAGTGGTGAGTGGCTCAAGTGTTACAGTGGTGA